CAATACTATTATGGACTACTGGACTCTTTTAGAATATTTTGCTGAGTTAACACACCTATAATATTCAAATGATGGAACTAAACAAAAAAGGGTATACAGATGAATGTCCATTTTGTATCTGTGTACTCAGAATGGTTAGGATAGATGTATATTACATTCTCTTAATGAATAGAGGGATTTGTTTTAATAGTGTTTGTAAATAGGATATCATGTCTGCATCTTGTACAGCACATAACCACTAGGAAGAGAGTATGCAATGTGTTAATTATTGAAACTGTCCTACCAATTTGATTTTAGTGTTTTTTTTTTTTTTTGCGCCGAATGCCTTCAAGGCATGACTGGCTGTCTTGTGTTGTGGGGATCGAACCACAGCAACCTGAGCCTGACTGCTTTGTTGAAGCAGCCACTTAAAGAACTGAGCTAAGGGGCAGGCCCCCAATGGCAGAAGTGTTTTTTTTTCCCCAATTTGATTTTAAACTGTCTCATTGCTATTTGTCTCTCAATAAAATTATGGAAAAATATTTAAAAAAAAGTTGTTGACCTGAGTCCCCTACAGTTTAACAACATGGCTTTACTTCTTATACTTCTTTTTTATACTTTTCTGCTGGATGGTTAAGACCAAGATAAAGCTAGACCTATGCAACCAGAGTTGCAGCTTTTGGGTCTGATAAGGTCAGGCAAATCTCCTTAGGATTTATCCTGAGACCCTGTACCTCAGTTTGTACATCCTTTGTCAGTGTCAGCCATGTGGATGAGTCACGGCCATTGCTTGACCAATGTACTCTCTGTGAAAGCCTGAGAAAATGTTTTCTCTCCATGTGACTTTCCTTAGGCACACTCTACAGCGTCAATCACTTTCCTCTTTGGCCCCCTAATCTCCTTGATCAGAAAATTTGGGATACTACTGAGTTACATGATGTTACAGTACAAGTTCTCATATGTCCTGAGTTTTAATTGACCTTGGAAGGCTAGGGCCAAAATGTTGGCTTTCCTTGTGGCCCTTCTTTTTCTCTAATTTTGGTCTGCAAACTTAGGTTGTTAACCCTTCCAGAAAAGAAGCTTATTGTTATTATCCTACAAGCTAGGCTGTTGAGCTTAACCTCACTATCTGTCTGAATATCAAACATCTTAGGTATAACATGGAACAGGTATTTTTCATCAAGTATTGATATGTTAAACTTTAAGTACCTACATAATATGGCGAAAAACATTTAAAAATTAAAATATATTTAAAAATAGGCATAAAGAATTGTATAATTTTTATGTTTATACATAAGTCCAGAAATCTAACCATATACAACCTTGTAGCAGGACAGTCCCGCAACATTCCTCTTCCTGCCTCCTGCCTTCATTCACCACCCCCTTCTTTTTGAACAATCATCTACCCAAGAGACAGCACAGCAGTAACTGGCATGTCATGACAAGCAGCCCGTATTCAGAAGACCAGAATGACAGGCACTCCAAGCATGAACCTACTATTATAAATTGCCATCTTCAGTGCAGTTGCTTAGTTCACAGGTGTCTGTATATATAGTTAGTCAGGGTGAGAATCTTTCCAATTAACTGCAAGATTCAAAAATCTTCTGGAGAGTCTCAGGATCATTGCCTTACCCATCTTCTACATATAACTGTATGGCTTGCCACTGTCATGTTTCCTAGCTCTTCTCTTTGCTCTCTTTTCATTGTCTAGTCCTCAAGTTCTTGCTTTCCTTTTAGTTGTATTATACCTTTCTATTTGTATTTCTTCTTTTGAGTTCTTATACTAGGGAAACTATATGATATTTACGCATGTGTGTCTGGTTTATTTCACTTATGAGTATATCTTCAAGTGGCATCCACTTCAATATAAAGGCTTCGAGTTTATCATTCTTTATAGGTGAGTAATACTCCATTGTATAAAAAGGTCAACAACTTCTGACACTGCCAGTCAAGTGGAAGACCCAATACAATTATGGACTACTGGACTGTTTTGGAATATTTTGCTGAGTTCACACACCTATAATATTTAAATAATGGAACTAAACAAAAAAAGGGGATACAGATGAATGACCATTTTGTATCTGTATACTCAAAATAGGATAAAT